GATCACTACTTTCGCCTTTGTCGCTGCTGCAAACGGGAACATTGAATCGCAAATCAATATTCATATTTTATTAATACCGTTACATTCAATCTAAATATTGTTCCCAGCTGTTCGAGGAGCTTGTCGTATCCCTTCTCTTGCCTACCAGCCCTCGATGACGATTCTCTCCGCAGTTTATTTCTTAGTCGTATGTACAAACTACTGTCATTTTGGTGCAGTGATCGTAGGTACCTTGAAAACATGTGTGCCAGAATGTGACTGTTTTTATCTATTTTTAGTTAAGTGATTGAATTCAGAGATTATCGTTGACCGACAATATGAACTGCATTTATGATTCAGGAACTTTGTAGCTTGTGTACTTGAATAAATTGGGACATCCAGTGAATGCTGGATCGAGAAAATTGAAAACTTTGTATTCAATATAACTATGTGACATTGAGCGTCAAAGAAAAAAAGAAATCATTGAAATACCCTCCCTCAGACGACGGCGGCAAAGCAAACTATTGCATATTGAGAAGTCAGAACGAAGAAATAATAAACATAAAACCGTCTTGTGTCTTTGGAACCAGCCGCAGTCCTGGGTGCGCATAGAATGCATCAGGCGAGTGTAGTATTCCGGACATTGGAGTATATTGTGAATTCAAATTGCCAGCACGTACAGTGCAAGAGAAAGGAAAATGTACATCCGAAACAAGAAAAAGCTTTAGTTCTTTATTCATCTATTTTTTGTGCCAAGCTTTTTTACAGCCTTATAGCGGAGGACGAGACGGAAGGATAACAGCTACGTCAACCAATGAACGATAGAGAGAAGGGGAATCAATCGATTTACGAAATTAGATATTCAGGTCTCATACTATCGTGTGTGAGTGGCAGTGGAGTGGGTGGCTGGTGAACGCCAGGTTGCTGTATTGGATTGACAAATTCATTCAGCGTCGGATGGACGACGGAAGTTACAGTTGAGTGAAAATCGATTTTCTATTTTAGTTTGAGCAATGAGCTTGTTGAACGAAGGTTTGCAGTTTGGTCACCGGGGCTGATGGAAAAGAGCAGCGTATTGCACTATATATTCCAACTGATAAGAAGTACTCGGATGGCGGGAGTTCCAGACAAGTGAAATAAATTTTCTATTCTTAAAAAAAAAACGCTTAACACATTACTAACGCGTTTCGGTACAGAAATGTTGGAACACAAATATCAAGGAGTCCAAACAATTGAATAAATCTGGCATTCCAAGAAGAAATATTAGGATGTTTAAACATTTCTACAAAGAATAGTTCCATGCAAAATAACGAATCGGAATCTTCGATTTGCATGAAACTTTTCATAATTGTTTGTATTGGACAATGATTTTTTTTCAAAATTTGTCTATTTTGGACCTTGTTAAAATTTAAAATGGAACTCTCACATTTAAACAAAATTAAACACGGCAATGGCACTGAGGTTGAGGTCTGAGACAAAGTGGTCGATAAAGATAATGTACAAAAATATGTTTTAAGTCATTTAACGTAAAAAATCTTAAAAAGTGTTAAAGACTTATACCCCGTTCACATTACAGCGTATATCAAAAACTTTTTTGGAAAAACTGAGTATGCAAAATGCGTAAAAAAAAAATTGGAGGATTTTTTATCTAATTTCCGTCCTACTAAGCACTACCCACGCTTCACATATCTTTTTTGAACGGGATTGCACAAAAAATGGAATATTTCTATCAAAGATGACTTCTAAATTTATTCACCTTTCCATACGTACCGTTGGATTTGATAAAGGGTCACAAATTATTGAGATATTATTTTAAATCTAATACTGCTTCTTGATTCTAACATTCTACGAGTTTCAATTCCGTCCTAACGCATTGAAACGCCATTAGATTTCCTTCGTCCTACGGATACACGTAGAAAAAGAGGATTCGCTAGGAGCGCTTCTTTTGTTTTGAGAACAATGAGCGTAAATATTCATACATTGCGCTCTAATGGAATTTGTTGTAGCTAATGAACTAACGCATCGGAACAAACCTATTATTAATTTGTGCTTGGTGAAATCATTGATATTATTGATCTTTTGAGATCGATAGAATGGAAATGGGCGATTACGATGAAGTAGCGCTCTACCCTACTTAGATTTGAGCATGTAAGAGAACTTATTGAATTTGGATTATTTGGAAATCGCTCATCTAATCATTCAATCTTACGTTGGAAATTATTGATGCAAATACAGTATATTCAGTATGATCCCCTATGTCATATTCCATACATCTCAATTGAAGGAGCGAAGGTGTTGGCACGTACGTACACATCATTTTATTAACACAATCGTCAAAAGCGTGGTGGAAAACAAACGCTGTCAGTCACGTTAAACCTAATCGGGTTTGTTTTCCTGCACATGTTCGCTTAATAGTGTTCGTGAGAATATGCGGAAGTCGATAAGCATTTTACGAGATGTTTCTGAGCTGCTAATTTATCAATTCAGTAACTAAATTTGAAGAGAGCCAGTAACGTCAATAGCCTAAAGAATGCGAGAAGCAACATCAATATCATCACTTCTGTAAGGCAGCCACCCAAGTTACCATAGGCATGTTATTTCACCTTTTTGGCTGTATACAGCTGAACAACGGCTATATCAGTGTTTGTATGTTCTGATGAGGCCCGTATATAGCCAAAAAGGCGAAATAATGTGTCTATGGTTACTTGGGCAGTTTAGCCATTTTAAAAAATTACCAATTGGAAAATATGGCCTCTCACACCATCTACACTCAAAAAATTCCACACGTCATCATCATAAATATGTCTCACTCTTAATTTTGCACTTATTGTGAAACGCATCCATTTCATGTGCGAATCTTATGCTTTGAACCATGCCTCAACAATATTGGTTCGGATTGTGACACACTTGAAGTCTATGTGCATCACATGGTGATATCAATAGCTTTGCACCTCATAGTTCAATGTTCTACAATATTCTACTTACCGACTACAAGATTGAATCGACAAATAGATAAACAAAGTTGCCAGAGGGCAGAGCTTACACATAACTTTTTTAATGGGTCTGATTTGGGAATTTATCCTGGACTGTTGGGGAGTGCCGCTGCCGTTTTATTCGTTCAATCTCACTGGGCCAAGGTTATTCTCATATATGAGGTTGGTTGATAAGGATGAAGTCACAACTCACCTTGCAGAACAAGCAATTCACATCGCATTGAAATGCAAAACACTTCTGAACAGTAGTGTCATTCAATATGCAATACACTTGAATTGATAGAGAAAGATTTTAAACATTCCAAAATTTTAAACACTAGAAATCAACGTGTAGAACACATTGAACCATGCTGACATAAACTTAAAATAAATGTGACTGTGCATATGAAAATGCACATGTGTTTAAACACTTCGATCCGACGTGTGGACTTTTTTGAGTGTAGCGTTGTGTAAACTAAACATCATTCCGCAGACAAACAGACGTAGCACTTCATTCTGGATCATTGCCCACGCTGGCAAGCTAGCAACATTGTTTGCGGCTTAGCAAGCTAGCTTGTTTTCCACGAAAAACTCGAGAGATGTCGTTACTTATCGTCCTGTTTATTGAGGTACAATGTTTTCAAGAAAAACTTATTTAAGATAAATTTGTCAATACATAAATAAAGATCAAAAATATAGCTTCTGTTTGTCTGTGACCATTCATCCAATTGCAAGTGATAATATATTAATTCTATCATGCTCTAAGGGGAGAGGGATATAACATCAAGATTCTGTGGCAACGCACCCCGCACGCCAAAGTCACGAGTTCAAATTTTCATTCCCCGAACAAGTCACGAATAATCCAAGAGTGTTAAAGTGACTATAACAATAGAAAAAAAGGCCCTATCATTGCTATGAAATCAATTCATCAGCTAAGAGTGTATCATTTTGTAACTATACTATATTTGCAAAAATTCTTTGCACACGAAATTTGATTCAATAAAAAACATTTGAAAAAGTCGTCTTATTTACGCTTTAACCATTTCCAACTAACTTAGCATTTCACAACCACACGAATGACGCCAGCCTATTGTTGTAGTTGTTATAGTTTATTTAACAGTTAACCTGATTTTTCCGTCGACAGTGAACTGATTTCTTCAGAAAATCACTCCAGTGTCACACATAAAGAACGCTCACTTTGGACTCAAAACAATACTGTTCACAACATAAAGGCAGTGAAAATGTTAACTTCACTAGCGTTTGACATAACACTTTTTCACACGGCATCAAAGAAGAAAAGAAGACCAACAACACGTAAAACTTGAAGTACGAAACGTACATATACACAATAGATAGAGTAAAGATCAGACAGAAGGACAGAAATAGAGCTAGATAATCGTTTAGAGACAGTAGAACACAGGTTTGGTTTTAGGTATGTAGAAGTTTTCACCTAAAATAAAGTTTGTGCACGTAAACTGAACAGAACCTGTATAAAAGCGGCATTCAAAAATGAGAAAACTCAGCTTCGTCTGCACCTGGGTTGAATTTAATGCGAGGAAGGAAAACGATGAATGGAACTGAAGTGGTAATTTCCAACTGATTGAATTAAGAATAAAATGAAACTTTCCGGCAGATGATGTAATTGCTTGCGCACTTTGTTCACGTTCGTTTTTTTTTGCGGAAGTGCAAAGTTGCACCCAGTTTCTCATAGTTTTGCTTGAATGGTCTTATCAATTTCCCTCCCGTGACAAATGAAATCCCGTTACCGAAGTAGGTAGGTACGAACGGAAATCCCAAAGGAGTTATTTAAATTAAACGGAACAAAAAATGGTAAGCGAAATGAAATAAGGAACGGAACACAAACGAGAACGGGCGGGTTACAACTTTCTTTTTACTGGGGATGAACAATGTATACGATTCGGGAAGTGTATCTGTATTGGATCAGAGTGAGGGCTCGTTCTATGGCCGTTCAGGGTGGATTCGGGGACCGTGAGAGTAAGTGAGTGGTGGTTGTGGTGTGGAGAAGGGGGGTCGATTTCAGTATCCTACCTGAGTAACTGGATTCTCTCCGGGCCTATATACAACATTGTGCAGTGGTCGCTTCCTGCCGACGTAGTTGACACAGACAAACTCTAGTAGCGAGGCGTAGATGAAGCACATGCACACGCCGTCCCACACGTTCATCGCCGTCAGGTTCGACACTACCGGAAGCGTACTGCGGAAACCGTTGGAGGTGGTGAAAAAATTCAGCATTGTCGTGACGCCTGGTTCCGTTGGATGGTTGGTTGGGATTTTCGGATTGCAGTCGGCCGAATAGGTGATGACGATGGTCGACGTGGTTTGCGTTGAAACGGGAAAAGAACAGATAAAACTCATATCAGAGATAAATATTTAATGAAAAGTTACACGAATTATGCAGGCTGGAATTCTGGTTCCGGTGATTCTGTGTTGTGTTTTCATTTGGCCGACACGGTTGGTTTATGGGATTGAAGGTTTTGTTTGAAATAATGCTTGTTTTTGTTCGGGCATTGTAGAGTTTTGTAATTTATTTCGCATTGTTGCAATGTGGCTTTCGTTTATTTTATGTTTTTGAATTATAGTAAATTTAAATAAATAGGTAGTTTGCAGTTATTTAGTTATTTATACATCGTTATCTCATCCAAGCTTTTGAATAAAATGCAGTAAAGCATGGGTTCGTTTTTGTCTGACACCTACAATACGGTCGTTTCAATATAAGCGAACAAAGGCTCCTGGCTCCTGTCTATTTAAGCAATTTGTCGAGCAGCATTGCTAGTAAGACTGAACAGCTAGTTGGAAACCTGGTAGATCAGACATCCGAATAAAAGTTCAATTCAGTGGTGATTTCAACACCGCAGTGAAATTACATGCATATACTCAATATTATAGCCACTGCTGGCGTCGCTAGTACATTATTCCAGCCGAGAGTTGACCCCTGTTAATTAAGAATAATCTTTCACTTTTTTTCAAGTTCGAGCACCTACCTGAAAATGCACATGACACTTTTTTCAAAGGATATATCTTGGATTTTATTTATGTTTTTATACCGTTAGAAATATTTTTTTTTAGAAGCCACCCAAGTAACAATTCAGTAACCATTTGGCATCCACTCTGATTTATGATAGTTTTATAATGGCAATGAACAATCCATTTAGTATAAATACAGCATTTCAAAGTGTGTGTTTCCTGTTTTAAAAACCTTTTATAGTCTAGCAAGAAAGTCAAAACTGTCTTGTTTTAATAATAAATTTAAAACAGTTCTCAATCCCTCCTTAAAACGGCTCTGTAATCAAGCATAAACGTCATTAGCAATTGTTTATTAATGTCTTGATAAAATATTTTTTTAACGTGTTCTATCATTATAAAAGCAACCATAAAACCATTAGGTTTTGCATTAGAGCAAAATAGCGTTTATTGTTGCTTTTTAGGCTGGTATTTTTTCAACTTTCGATAATGTTTTATGAACTCGAGGGGCTCACTCCCTTCACTCTTCTCCGCCAGATGGTCAGTCGTTGATGGTGTGCGGGTTCTTCTAAAGAAGAAAATTTTGCTGAAATCGACATGAATGTTTTATCCTAACTATGATGAACCAACTTTTAAGTTATTATTGGAGAGTTTATGATGCACTTAATCATAAACTCCCAAATTACAGCTTAAAAGATGGTTCATCATAGTTAATAAAATCCAAATTAATGACAAGGAAATCTCGAAGGATGGACGAAGTAGGATTAAAAATTCAAGTCGATTTCAGCAAAATTTTCTTCTTTAGAAGAACCCGCAAACTATCTGAGTAACTGCCCCCAATCCATCGGAACAAAACCGCCTGGAGGAACCCGCAACTAAATATCGAAAGAAAAACAAACTTTGACGTTAAACTTTTTGCAGGCAACTTTGTCTCCATAAATGCTGCCATAAATCTGAACGGGTTAGAATCAAGCAAAATGGCTTTAGAGAAATACAATTCAGCCTGCAAGTTTTCTTCATAAAAGCCATTTTAAAACCTTATGAATTTGTTAAGGATTTCTTGAAAGCAACTCAACTTTTTCACAAATGACCCATGAAAATCAACTTTTATGCCACCGCTAAATATGTTACAATTAGTTTGCTTGTTTTTTACAATCATCGATTTTCAATCTATATTGCCATGAATTTAACTATATTTTGGTAAATTTAGCAATAAGCAAACATTTAAATGCGAAAATCACAAAAAAACAATCTCGGCCTAGTGCGATCTGAATTTTTTTTTCAATGTAAAATAATTAGTGAAATCGACGTTTTACGAAGGCGGACTTATTTTTTTCGATGTTTTCACGTACATTTCACATAACATTTAATCAGGCACTTAAAACTAGGCCACTTAATGAGAACTATTGTAATAAAGTTGGTTATTCAACAAGATTTTTATACCACCAGTTTCTATTTTAATTATTTTGATAAGATCGGATTCATAAATTCTTTTCAATCTTGATTGATGCTTTACTAGTGGATTCAGCAAGTAGCTAGGGGAAATGGCTCGGAAAGGGTTTTTATTATTGCTAAATAGCTTTTGTTGTAGCTTTCAAATGGTTTTCAATGCGTTCGTCATACAATCTTTTGCATTAAATCAATCTTGAAGAGCTTCGAGAATACACCTTTCAGAACCTTCTCCAGGGTGGGCCAACTAGACATATTCTAGTCTAAATGAGGTTTTGGTGGATGCATTTATGACAAAATAGCCTTGACCAGAGTTTTATGAATGTTGTTCTAGAGTTGCTTTGTAGTATTACATAAAACTTAAAATGTTAGAGTTGGTTGGAAATGCTAACATGTGTTATAATGCAGTTCTTCTTTACCCGCCAACAAGGCGGGAGTAGCCGTCAACAATGCTGATGATGGTACAGCACGCAACAACCACCCTACTGCTTTCTCTCTGAGATGATCACGTTGGTCATGACGAGAGGAGCAACACAATAGTTGGGTAAAGAAGAACTGCATTATAACACACCATCGACTGGAAATGCTCTCGCAAACGTGGGGCTTTAGGTAGTGATGAAAAACGTCGCTAGAACTATTCCACAGCCGCAGTCAGTTTATGAGCAACAAGAGGGACGCACATTTTTGCCTGTGGACTTGGAGACATACTTCAAGTCCCCGCGTACATCGTACGGGCTAGGCAAAAATGTGCGTCTGTCTTGTAAACTGTCGCTTTAATGGCCCTTCGCTCATTTTCAACTTCTATTCAATTTTCATACTGCCGTACTCTAACGGAACTATCCACCTACCCTCTTCTAAAGATCATTCTCTAGCTAATAAATCATCACACTAAAGCTTCATGTTAGCATTTCCAACCAACTCTGAAAATCGTTAACTTCGCGTATGAAGTAACATAAAAAACACTTTGAATGTTAAAATGTTACTTGGGCAGTACTCTTTCAGTAGTGAAGTTATAAGTTCCACGGTGTAGCATTCTAATAGATGTTTTTATTAGCTTTCAGGGGAAACTTGCAAGAAGAAATCAATCAGTTTTAATATGCTATCCCCTCGACAAAAACTGAAAATCAGAAAAAAATGATCCAACAATCGTATCAACCACCGTGTGACATGACCAATTGAACCATATTTAAGACATGGGAACTAATATCCTTTCAAACAAGATAAAAACAACAGAAGTCCGTTGAAAATTACCGAAGATATTACAAAAAAATGTGAAAATGCGATTCTGGTTTGATGCTCGAAGAGTTAAAAAAGCACGTTTTACTGAAAGATGCTACGAAACGCATTTTAAACATTAAGAGAGACTTGATCTCTTTTCATATAATACATCATGTTTTTCGATATTAATTTACACAGGCTTCCAGGCAGTGATGGATCGTTCTTTTGATGGTTTTCATTCCTATTTATTGTTGTATGTTAACATGAAATTCAGTTGAATTTCAAGTTAATCCATCGTAAAAGAAATAATTTCATGCTATTAATCTCGCTATTAAAATGCAAAATTTCCTCACCGTAAAGTCACACTCTGTGTTTTCACTGAAGGTGCACTCGAGAGCACTCTCGAATGTAGCTTTAGTAAAAACACAGATTGTGGATCTGTGGTGCGGAAATTTTGAATTTTGATTGGGAGATTAATAGCATCAAACTAACTACTTTAAGATGGGATAACTGAAAATTCATTATCCTTAAATACCCGTTACCTTAAATTACAAGTTGGATTGTTCAATAACTTTTATAAATCAAAGATCAGCTCACGATATAAAGCAGGAATCAACTCCAAGAGAGGGGCTAACCACCACGTGAACCAGCCACGTGGACAGCTTAGTGGAAAAAAGTAGGCTAGTGTCCTCGGTTTATACATTTTTTTTAAATTCTCATGGATAATTGTCCACGCAGAGAAAGGATATATAGTCCGAGGGATATAAATTTTGAGAATTTTTAACAGGAGTTTTCAAAAGCTTATATCTGTAAAATAACAGCTCATAATACAAAAGAAGAGTCGACTCCAAAGAAAAATTGATCTGTTAGCATTTCAATTGAGATGTTTAACATATTTTAGTTGTACAAGAATAGCTTATGATTTAAAGAAGTTTTTGAGTATATCAATTAAGTTAAGTTGGGTTTACAAAAAAAACCCAATGTATTAATCATAACAAACTATTCTTAAACTATTACCATCTGAAAGCAATATATTGAAAGTATAAGTACTGTTTCCTCATACATTAAGGGTCAATTCTGCGTTTTTCCGAAGCTTGTTTCGATTAATTTTAATTACATTGATAAGTGTCGTGTAACAGCATAAGTTGAACGCTAATTTATTTTTTAAACAATCAACACCCATCGAACCAACCATGTCAGCAGTAATTCTTGATCAGCTTTGCCAATCGAGAGCGGTGATTTTGTTTTCATTCCATGACTGTTGGAAGCTGAAGTATGAACTTGGGGGGGTAGGAGTAAGCGTTCGTATTTTCGGAGCCAGAATGTGTATTCGATAAATTACTGGAATGTCTATTTTATCATATTTCATATTTCAATTACTACACTAAGAATTTTGCTACACAGGTGCCAGGCTCGTCATCTCTACGCATTGGGATTGTCTCTTTTTGCGGTGCGGGAATGTTCAATTTATCCGATACCACTTCCTCTCTGCTATGGTTAATACCTACGTGGCTAGTCGATGTGGGTGTTGCAGAGGGTGGATCGGCATTGGGTTTGTCTCAGTGTTTCCTGTAAACAGTTTGCTAAGGTAGGCAGGTAGGCGGGCAGGCAGGCA